AACTGGATTACAAACATCCACAGTGTGTGGATAATATTCCAAACATTTCCAGTAACAGCACACCCTCGCGCACACACGCACCCACCGAACCAACACACACACACACGCACACGCGCGATAGATAGTTCACACTACCAGAATGTAAATTTGCTTTTCCCCAAATTAAAGTTTTTCCTCTCGATTTCATCTGGCCAAGTTGGCGCTAAAAAAAAAGTAGCAGCTTAATGATATACCGGCGACGTGATGTTCCCCGACTTGTTGTTGATGACGGCAGGCGGGTACAGGGAAAACAACACAATCATAAAAACTAATGGGGGGGGGGGGGGGGTGACGGGCCCAGTTTGTTGGTGCTGCGTGATGCGGGCCTGACCTATTCTCTGGCCACTGATACCTTTAGAAATCTTGGCCATCAAATATTCATTGGCCGTGGTTGGCGTAACTCTCCTATCGGGGAGTTTGAAAGGTGGAATGCCATTCGTTGTCACACCCCTGGTGCGCTGGGTACTGCTCGAATTGAGACCTGCTGACCCCTTGACCCCCACCCCTCCCCCCAACAGAACGACCAGCCACTCTAGATGCGGCCCCGTGTGTGGAATAACTAATGAGGGAGCTCGACCGTTCCCCACCCCACCACCCTCGGGTCTCCGGGTGTAAAAAACCAGCTCTGTGACGAGACAGCTGAAGCCGTCCCGTACACTAGGGTACTGTTACTGGTGGGGACTTAGACCGTTGGACAGATCTGTTGGGGTAGACTGGTGGGACTTGGGACAATGCTGGTAGATGTGCCTCAGGGCAGCCCACCATCACACGTAAAACAAAGATCTAGACGAGACAGTTTTAGAAACTCAATGGGAGGGGGGGGGTCTACAACATAAGGTTAGTTTATCAACATTAATATGAAATGTCATACGAAGTGTCATATGACACACCATCTGACATCCCGGTGTCAGCTGATGTCATTCATTATCTAAAAATAGCCCATCTATATTGGTCTACCCGTGCTGTGGCCAGACAATTTCAGACGGCCTAGACAATTTTATTTTCCTTTGAACCTTATCGATCCCAACTTCATGCCGTCGGTCTCTTCGTCTTCGCTCTCTCGTCGGTCTCTTCGTCTTCGCTCTCTCGTCGATCTGTTCGTCTTCGCTCTCTCGTCGGTCTCTTCGTCTTCGGTCTCTTCGTCTTCGCTCTCTCGTCGTTTTCTTCGTCTTCGCTCTCATCTTTTCACTCAGCCGACACTGTATATAAAACAGAAGAAAGGGAGCGAACCCCGTTAATTGACCTCATGTGCCGACCACGTGACTACCGTATCAAGACCGTTGATTCGCTGGATTGTGTCTGGTATGTCGGGGGGGGGGGGGGGGGGGGGGGGGGGTTGAATTAAAAACAAAAGTTGTAAATGAAAAGCGCGTGTAATCATTGTCTTCCATAACGTCCCTCCCCCCCCCCCCGGGTAATGAGTGCAGATGTTAGTGTGCTAGCCTCAGCTTGTGTAGCTCGCATTATTTTACTGTAAACATGTGTTTGTACTTTGAGTAAAAACCTAGAAATTGTAGCAGTTTTATCTTGCCCTTAGAAATCCCTCTAGATCCAGTGCTGTTTTACATTATTTACGATAAATCTCTTTTTAAAAAAAAAATGCTTTTCACGTTTTTTCTTTCGTCCTTCTCACCCAATATTCTCTCTTCCCCCCTCCCCCCCCCCCCCCATGTATTGTTAGATCACCCTGTGCAACCAGGCCAATTGTTCACAATTCTGGCCAGATTTTTGCCATCTTTACTTACAGACGTTTATATTTTGTTTTTATTTTTTTGTATTTCCCAGATGTCAAGTTGTGTGTTCCACGTGACTAAAGTATGAGCACATGTCAACATGTGTGTTCTCATTCTCGTGGCGTGTTAGCGAGAGCTGTATCATGAGACAACACACCAGTGTGTACACAGTGACCTAGTTTCAAGCCGTGATCTCGCGAGGTTCCCGACCAAGGGAGATCATCCTAATCTAGACGGACATGTCCAAGAGACAAGCCGTGCTGGCGACTCGGGTGGTCAACGGGGGTCTGACCACGGTGGTCAACGGGGGTCTGACCACGGTGCTGGTGCTGCTGATGGTGCTGCCGTTTGTCGTGGAGATGAGGTACCTGGGGCCCAAGTTGACCCACTTAGCAGTTGACGACCAGACAGGTCTCGTCTTTGTTGGAGGTAGGTCAAGGACGTGTCACCCCCAGCTAGATATGTGTCTCTTTCCTGGGTCACCCCCCCCCCCTTCCAGCTAAATAAGTGTCTCTTCCTGGAACCATAATTAGAATATTAGACCTTCACTGAGCCATATACAGATCTGTAGTTGTTTTATTTAGCGTTATGTAGATCTACAGTTTATCTATGGAAGCTGGAGATAATTCAGATTGCCATCATGGCCCTACAAACACGGTTATATCTAATGAGACGTGTAGTCTAGCGACTGGACTAGTTGCCTGAAAAAAATTATTGCTTAAAATTGGTTTTAAAAAGTCTGGCACATTTTAAAGATGAAATTACCGTAAGTAGAGTTTAGATGAAAGCAATGTCGGCCAGTGGACTGAGGCTAATGGAGTAATGGCTGGAATTAAAATCTTCAAGTAATGGACGTTAAACTTGGTGAAGGGAACCAGGGCGGTATGTAGGTCCTGGGGCAAGACTCTTTACGTAAGGCTACCGTCTTCTAAGGCTACCATCTCCTAAGGCTACCGTCTTCTAAGGCTACCATCTCCTAAGGCTACCGTCTTCTAAGGCTACCATCTTCTAAGGCTACCATCTCCTAAGGCTACCATCCCCTAAGGCTACCATCTCCTTAGGCTACCATCTTCTAAGGCTACCATCTCCTAAGGCTACCATCCCCTAAGGCTACCATCTCCTAAGGCTACCATCTCCTAAGGCTACCATCTCCTAAGGCTACCATCTCCTAAGGCTACCATCTCCTAAGGCTACCATCTCCTAAGGCTACCATCTCCTAAGGCTACCATCTCCTAAGGCTACCATCCCCTAAGGCTACCACTCCTAAGGCTACCATCTTCTAAGGCTACCATCTCCTAAAGCTACCACCCCGTTAAGGCTACCTAAGGCTACCATTTCATAATGCTACCATGTTCTCGTGCACGTATCTCAACGACCACCACCTGTCCCTCCCTCCCCAGGTGAGAACCACATCTACCAACTGGACCTCTGATCTCAAGCTGCTGCTCAACGTCACCACTGGCCCCAAGAACGACAGCAACAAATGTTTTCCCCCGCCTGGAGTTTGCTTCGTCAATAGGACGGCCACAAACAACTACAACAAGGTGGGGTCGGGGGGGTTGGAAGGTAGGGTCAGGGGGAGGGGGGTGGGGGCATCAACAGGACGGCCACCAACAACTACAACAAGGTGGGTCGGGGGTTCAATTCGGCCACAAACAACTTTATATTAAGGCGGGGGGGGGGGGGGGGTTACAGCTTAACATCAACCCTTGCCTGTCCAATCAATTAGTAAAAATCAAACACCCCATAATGTAGATTTTAAGATAGAGCTACCCCAATTATATTGTTTGCATTTATTTAACGACATTAAAAAAAATGGGAGATGCCCACATTGATGCCCTAAACTGACCAATTAGAAATCTAGATGCCACATTGATGTCCCCATTGATGCCCTAAACTGACCAGTTAGAATGTAGATGCCCCATTGATGCCCTAAAACTGACCAGTTAGTATTGATGCCCCATTGATGCCCTAAACTGACCAGTTAGAATTGATGCCCCATTGATGCCCTAAACTGACCAGTTAGAATTGATGCCCCATTGATGCCCTAAACTGACCAGTTAGAATTGATGCCCCATTGATGCCCTAAACTGACCAGTTTCCCTGTATGCAGGTGCTGTTGGTGGACAAACTACGCCGGAACCTGATCACCTGCGGCAGTGTGTACCAGGGCGCCTGTGAGGCCCGCAGTCTGGCCAACAATCTCCAGGGTGCTGGAGGGCGGGGGCGGCGGCACGGACATCAAGAACTTCGCGGTGGCCGCCAACACCGAGGGCGCCTCCACGGTGGCGTTTATCGCGCCCGGCCCGTCAGCCCAAATGGGAACAGTTCTATATGTGGCCACCACTTACACAGGTAAGTTCTATACGTGGGCCACCACTTACACAGGTAAGGCGCCGCTAGATTTAATTACAGCTGTAAGTATAGGCCAGAAATAGACACGGGGGAGGTCGGTGTGAAGAGGCGTGGTTAAGATTATAGGGGCGGGGAAACTGTTTTAAACGTGGTGAAAATGCTAAAGATAATTTCTCAGTAAACCATTAACATAAATTACACAGGCTATTCAATTTCGTTTCTTGGAATATTATAATTGATGTAATTTCCTAGGTTGTGGAATGGCGCAATGTACATAGATCTTTAAACATTTTTACGGCCTCTGTATAATACATGTAATACTAGCCATTAGATAGTGTAGCCTCTAAACCATCTTGTCTGTCCGTTGTCCAGGTACCACCCACGAAGACCGTGTGTACCGTGACCAGGTGCCCGCCCTGGCTACCAGGAGCCTCCACAAGGACCAGCGCTTCTCCCTGGCCAAGGTCGACAACAACTTTCCTCAAGGGCAGACAATCCTCCCTGTACCCTCAAGAGCGAGGTCGTGGCGTCCTACCTGATCCACTACGTGTACGGCTTCAGCTCCGACGGCTTCAGCTACTTCCTGACGGTACAGGGGCGACATGTCGACGCCGCAGCGGCAGATCTCGAAGGATCGCGCAGGTCTGCCAGAACGACAGCTACTTCTACTCGTACGCCGACATCCCGCTCATCTGCACCAAGAACAACATCGACTACAACGTGCTGGAGACGGCGAGGGTCATCAAGCCCGGGGAGGAGCTGGCCAAGGATCTGTTCCCTGAGGGTCTCCCCGGGGACATTCTCATCGGCGTCTTCACCAAGGAGTCGAGCGCCGACTCCGCCATCTGCGTGTACACAGTGAAAGAGATCCGCGCTAAGTGTTTGGAGAATATACTGCAGTGCCATAGGGCAACTCTTCTGTTAGTGGCGGTGGATATCTCAGAGTCGGACCCAGAGGCAATTGTAACTACAAGGTAAGAGAATCTCTTCCTGTCTGATGTCTCACTTCCTGTCTGATGTCTCACTTCTGTCTAATAATAACTTGACTGTATTTGTATGGCTTAGACAGGTGACATAGTGATATAGACACGTGACGTAGTGATCACGGTACATGTTAACATACGGCTATAACCAACACGACTTCCGATCAAACGTCACGGTAAAGTCACGTGACTGCTAGTGAACCTGTCGTCAGGTCAGCAGACGATGGAAGCTTCCAGTCTCGCGGGTTTGACCAGACGACACTTTCAATTTCACGCTTGACTGGGCTGGTAAAATATTGGAAGAAAACACTATGGTGGGGGAGGGGGGGGGGGGTGAGATCAATGGCGCAAGTTAAAACACACGTTAGTTGGTCCATCGGTTGTAGTTTGATGACCGCCTAGAATCTGACCTTTACAGGATCTTGCTTCACTAAATGGTAGGAAACAACTAAAATATGTGTCAACTATTGAGGTCAAGTTTCTAAAATCAAGGGCGCTGCGTGTTGTCTTCGTCATGGTCTCATCTATAGCGGGGGTGGGGCGCTCACGAGATGGCCAGAATATGTATCGGGCCATCAGACAACAAAAACTGTGTGTGTGTGGCCCTGAGAAAATGTGTGTGGCCATGAGAAAATGTGTGTGGCCATGAGAAAATGTGTGTGGCCATGAGAAAATGTGTGTGGCCATGGAGAAAATGTGTGTGGCCATGAAGGTGTGGCCATGAGGAAATGTCTGTGTCCCCGCCCTTACCCCGGTCATATCTTTGACCCCAGCAATGCCCAGCTCCCAGCTTTCTCTGGCGATATGGTGGGGAGGGGCGGGAGTGATGCCTTTCCTGGCCCTTTCTCGTGTTCAAGACGCCATGTTTGAGAAAATGCCATTCCTAGAAAGAAAAAAAAAGCCCCGTAATGCTGCTTAGATAAGCCACCCCGCCCTTTGTGTCGTGCTAGATAACTCCACTCCAAGATTTGTGTGCACCGCCCGTGTAAACATTTAGTTTTCCTTTATTTACGGGACTGGTCCCTGAGTCGTCCTCCCCGTTTTGATAATAATTAAGGAGGTAGTTGTGGCCCCTTATCCATCAATCACTGCTTATGTCGGATAGACTCTCTTTAAGCTCCCCCTCCCCCCCAGTTATGATTTTCTCGTATCTTCAAACCTAGGATAGCAATCACAAACTTTTTTCTTTCCCCAACTTCTGGACTTGCCATTACCGAACCCCCCACACCCCCGGCCACCCCCACCGCCCATATTTTTCAGACACCTATAATCTTGGCTCCGTCTGAGGAAACCAAACTGCCAGATTTAAGGTTTTCTTGTGGGGTGCGCGCGCACAAATAAACAAGACGAGTAGTTGTTTCTGTCAGGCCGCTCGTCCAATCGCAGTGGGTTACGTAACCACGTGACATCAGTCGTGGCTAGCTCGGGACCGCAGCAATAAGTGGCCGCCTACGTTTTTTGTTACACGTAGTCACTTGTGTCTGAGTCGACCACCCTACACCTTCCCTCACCCCCCGGGATGGCTGTGAACCCGTCACGTGACGTAAGACCACAAACACGTGCAGAAGCTTCCAAAACAGTGGAGGGTTGTCTTCCCCTGCCACTCCCCGCTAAAACAAAAGTGACTTTCATTGCCAGCCATTAGCCGTCCTGCTGCCTTACTGGGGGCCCGTCCTTAGGGCTGCTTTCTTTGCTGACCGCCATTTTGTTCACGTGACGTAGGCGATGGTTATTTATAGTCGAGATCAGGTGATCCGTTAGATCAAATAGATTGAATTACTGGTACTTTAGCTGGGTAAGTGCTTTTTATTTACAGCCAGCAAATCAGAAGATTGGAGGGGATACAGGCCCTAGTCAGGTGTGGGATGGGGGGGGGGGGGTGGAGATGTGAGATGGGTGGGATGGAGATTGTTTGGGGATTCTGGCAACTTGGGATTGTGGGGGGGGGGGGGGAGATTCTTGCAACTATGCAAGTTTGGGATTGTGGGGTTAGAGATTCTTGCAACTTTGGGGTTGTGTGTGTTTGTGTGTGGGGGGGGGGGATATTCTAGCAACGCACACACCCACGGCAAATGTCTCACACACCCACGGCAAATGTCTCACACACCGACGGCAAATGTCTCACACACCCACGGCAAATTGTCTGATACCAAATTTCTGGACGTAATTTCCAAATGTTTCACAGCTAATGGGCCGAATTGAAAGTTGACCTTGATGTGGATTGTTGACCTTGGATGGGGAACGTTGACCTTGGAGGCCAGATGGGAGATGAGCAAGATATGAACTTATTTGGATGTATTATTGATTCATGCACGTGACCAGCGGGGGGGGGGGTGTGATCGAGTCAACGGACAGACGGAACAGGTTGTGTAATATGTTGAACATGGCCTGGGTAATGGAGTTTAGGGCGACGTTATTCCACGGGGGGAGGGGGTAGGGGGGGGGCATATTCCACGGCACGTGGAAGTTTAATGCGCCATTACTCCACGGGTGGGGAGGGGAGGGGGAGTTTAGGACGCCGCTATTCCACAATTGAGACACATTGAAAAAGAATGGGGGGGGGGAGGGAGGGAGGGGCAGGTAAAAGTGTGGATCGAGGTAACACATACCTCGTGACGAGATCTGTGGGGTCAGGTTTTGTCTTTCAGACACATCGGGACTTACCACCACCAAACTTAGCACCACCAAACTTAGCACCACCAAACTTAGCACAACCAAACTTAGCACAACCAAACTTAGCACAACCAAACCCTTAGCACCACCAAACTTAGCACCACCAAACTTAGCACCACCAAACTTAGCACCACCAAACTTCCACATTACAACTCTCACCAACAGACAATCTACCCCCCCCCCCCCCCCCCCCCCCCCCACCCCCCCCACACACACACACACCATACCCCGTCCTGTCCCTCCCCCAACAGTTGCTGTCATAAAATGAGGTCAGAAGTGATTGATAAATGGGAGTAATTTCCCTTGCTTATCACAGCATCCTGCTGATAAATATTTCATTTGACGCACAACTTCGCATTCATTCGAGAAATCTTTCCTTCAACGTACGAACCAATCGCATGCGGTGCTTGCGAATCAACCAACTTTGAAAACAAACAATCCAGCTCTTGTTTTAATCATGCGTTTAATTAGATCTCTTTCTCACGACAATTCCTATTGTGGTATTTGTTGTCTCAATACATTCAGCCGTTTAAATTCAATGTTTGAATTATAGATGAGTTTAATGATGGATAATCATGATTGTTTCATATAAAATGGAATTAAGTCTGAAATTGAAAATAAAACTGGAGGAGTGTGGATATCTAGTTACCGGAAGAGGTGTATCACTTCGGCTAGGTATTGTGGGTAATATTTTAAAGGCCGGTGGGTCTACACCCCGGGAGTCACCAAATGAAACCGGAAGTTAGGAACCAACTCACGTCTGGTGTCCACCATCTTGAGTTGTGTTGGCAGACGACTAGCAGAGCAGACGATCTTGTGTGGCACGGTTTGCCGGAGTGTAAGACGGTTTGCCGGAGTGTAAGACGGTTTGCCGGAGTGTAAGACGGTTTGCCGGAGTGTAAGACGGTTTGCCGGAGTGTAAGACGGTTTTCCGGAGTGTAAGACCGTTTGCCGGACCACGGAGAGTGAAGGACACGAGTGGGCCGCTGGGTGAACGCAGTAGAAAATCAAACTGGGGTGGGGGGGTGGGTGGGGCGTTAGTGGTGGCTGCATTGGCTGTTGAATATTTTAATTAGCGCTGAATTAACTTGTGTTTTTAACAAATCCCAATGGGGGACTGCTAATATTAAAGCAATTATATCCTAGATTAAATGATTAATGGCACAAAAAAAGCTCGGCCTATGGTTGGGAGGTTTACGTTGAGAGTTTAGCGGTACCTAAAACTGTTAGCTTCATGCGGGTGGACAAATTTGTCGTTACCTAAAGCCGTTAGTTTCATGTGCTTGTTCGGTATACAATTATTTGTGTGTGGGATGGTGGTGCTGTGTGTGGGGTGGTGGTGCTGTGTGTGGGGTGGCAGTGTGGGTGCTAATAGTGTGTGCTATCTCACGGCATAAAATGTGTGAAATAAATGGAGGTAATGAGAACAGTTGGAGATGAGTTATTACAAATCGATACGGTCAGTGGGAGTAGTTCTGATTGCAGGGGCGGCGCCACGGGGGCGGCTGCCATTATTGGAGGTCTGGCATTAAAAAAGTTGACCGGACAATATGGGCTCCTGGTGGGGCCATGGTGGGCTCCTGGTGGGCCACGGGGAAGTCAATGGCGGGCTACGTGTTGGTGGGGTTATTGTGTGGCTGTGGGTGAGTGGGACGTGTGTGTGTGTGGTTTCACGCGGGTGAGTATGGGCAGGTCAGTAGGTGGTTGAGGGAGGAAGATTTTGTTTGTTTGTGTGTTAGCTTGTGCGATGCCGCTGTGTGTTTGTGTGTTTGTTTATGTGTGAGAGGCAGTATATGTGTATGTTGTCCCATGAGATATCTTAAAACTGGCCTTGTGTTTGGCCAAATTCAAATAATCTTCTTTGGTCGGCTACTGATGATATAATTAAATAATCTTCTTTGGTCGGCTACTGATGATCTAATTTAACTTCTCAAACAGCTGATCTTACTTCAATATGACCTTGAGTTTCTGGTGTATTTTGTATATTTACCACTTCCGGCCTGCATGTCGTTATGCTAAAACCATTTTCCTCATCTAGTTATCATTAACCTCTGACACTGCGCAGATGTACATAACTTTAACTTTCTCGCCATTTTAAATGACGTCATTTCCTGGAATGTCTTGCTTAGCCTCCAATCATCCACCCCCCCCCCATTCCCATGTCTCCAGATACATCTGTCCGTTATTTTTTTATCTAACGATTTGCCCGCACCCATTCGTCCCCCTGTACCCCCCCCCCCCACACACACACACACGTAGACTGCCAACAAGGCCTTTAGCTAGATGTCTCAAGACTCTATTTTTAACCTGATGACCAC